TGTGTGTATATATATATATATATATATATATATATATATATATATATATATATATATATATTGAGAATTTACTTACAATTGCAGTCAACTAAGAGTTCAGCTGCAGTCAGAATTTTGGCACGTTGTTCAGTGTCCCGAATATTCAGTTCATTCAGATCATCTTCATCTATATCCACAAATGTTTCCAGCTTGTCGTATCCATTTAATATGAAAATACTAGTTAAATGCTGAATAAAAAATAATAAAAATATTTAAATAAAAGAAAATCTACATTTCAATGGGTTTTCATAAATAGCTATACAAATAAAAAATATATATATATATATATATCATAAATTTCTCAGGAACCAGTGGATTTCTTATTTGACATTATTTCCTACTACTCCAAATGTTGTTTTGTGGATACCCATGTTTGAGTAGAAGCCTTGTTTTTCGTTTTTTTTTTTTTTTTTTTTTTTAAACAGTATAAATTACATTGACTGGCCTGCTCATTCAAGAGACTTGATAAACAAAATGCTAGAAAGTACATTTATTTTTATTAAGTAGTAGGAAATATATACATGCACAGAGATACTGTAAAGCTCTCTTGTTGACTTAAGGCATTATAATTGCATTGTAAGTTTGTCAATGAGGGCAGAAAAGTCAGAGTTCAGTATAGCCTGATGTGTATATTCTAAGTTGAATCCTAATTTTAGATCCATCTTACTCACTTAAAAACTTTATTTTTCTTGCAAAAATAATGATTTTACAAAGTATTCAGGCAAAGCAGATAAAATTGCATGAAAATAATTTTTTTTTTCAAGGAAAATATACTGGTTTGTTAAACTGAATCTTAAGAATATTCTTAATAATATTTATATTTGTAATGTTTTTATATATATATATTTCAATTTATTTAGCATCTGAAAAAAATTAAAACAAATAATAGAAAAGTCAATTTTTCTGTTCAAGTTTTTTTTTGTTAGGCATACAAAGTATCTCATCTTTAGCAATAAAATGTTTGCTTTTTTTTTTTTTAAATAAACACAATAAAAATAAATCTATTACTGAATAAAACAAACTCGGTATTTTATTTTTTATGAACAAAAGTTTAAAAAATATTAAAGAAATAAAAATTTAGATTTGCTAGATTTTTAAAATATATTACTAAAAAATATCAATGTTGTTTACCCAAACTCTGATCTAAATGCTAAGTTCTTTACCGCTTTCAAAGCATAAAAGTAATTTAATTATAAAAGCCATCAACAAAATAATTCTTTATTTATAAATTTACTAAAGGCCAGATTGGAAATGAAGAAAAACATTTAGTTAAAAAGATTTTTTTAAAATAATATTCTATATGCAAATTAGTTATCAGTTAAACAAAATCTGTTAAAGTGGCCAAGATATAAGACATACTGGTAAATATACATGATAGAACTGCATTTATTTGATGTAACAGTTTTATACATTATTTACATGTACATACACAACCAACTTCAATTATTTTCAGGATTTTGAGTACACATACAAAATTTGAGTATATATGGAGATGGTTACATATAGTTTTTCAGCTATATTGAAAGATTTTTTTTTTTTTTTTTTAAATATGGATATTTTTAGTGATAAAAATTGATAGTTTATTAAGAAAGCAGACATTTACCTCTAATCCTATTCTTTGCATGAGTTCTTCAACATTACGGGGCTTAGACCGTTGGGAGTTTCGTCTTCGGTGTATCCTGTCTCTACGTTGGCACCGAGGAGTATCTTCTGTTACCATCTCAACATGGGAAAATCTGAATGTTCCCACCCTGGCATTAAGCAGACCTTTCCATACACCAGGTTGAACCATACTGATCACGTTAATAATGTCACCTTTCTGAAAAATTGAAAACAAAAACAATAAAAAATATGTTTATGTAAACTAATAAAATGTCTAGTTCACACACACACCACCACCATTTTTTGAACAGGAATAGAGATTTATCCTTTATTTCCTGTTTAGGATTGGATTTCCAGTTCCTTGTAAAGTCTTTTCATTATCTTTCATTTTCAGTAGCCCCTTGTGTCTTAGTAGCATTATTACCTTGCTTGGGGTGAATAGAAAAACTAAATAAAGATAGAGCATCTTGCTATAAGGCCATGTCCCTTCAGAATATGGCTGATTGTAACTCTCCACAACTTTCTGTCCTTTGTATCTCTAAGCAAACATTTGACTCTTGACCTTCCCTTTTTATCCTCACCCTGCTATCCATTCACACAAACTTTTTAAGTAGTTTATTCACAGTTTTACTCAGCTCCTCACCTTTTAACGTTTTGTGATTGTTAAATGCTGAAAAGTCACATACTCTGGTTCAAGAAACACAATGCTTAATAAGACTAGTGAGTATTAACTGACATAAAATACTGCATTAACATGGAAAACTGAACCTACTTGTGTGAATTGAATAAAGGGGTCAGTTCAAAATTCCAATTAGATTACCAAAGTATAAAGACAGATACTTAAAGAAGACCAAACAATACAATGTCTTAAATGTCATAACAACAAAGATGATCATGTTGTTTCAAATAGCAAAAGCATATTATAGCTTTTTGATTTATATTTTTGGGATTTTATATGTTTGGAAAGAATTTTATTTAGACTTTTCACAAAATCAAGCATGAAGATATACCAAAGAAATATTTTATTTTTGACTCACTCTTTATAAAAAATATAGGCTTTGTAGCCTAAAAAAATTTAATTCATGAAAAGGCATGATTTTCAGTGTTGTTTTACTTGTGGCCTAACTTGAAATAGTTACATATTTCTTATCAATGTTTAAGCATAAAGTTAAGATGTCAAGACAGGTAGACATTCCCCACTTAGAAAATCACACCTCTAACAAATATTGAATGTTGCTTCATTTTTTTTCTTTTGATGAAATCTTGAAATTTCCTTAAACTGATTGCAAGTTTTTATAAGACACAAGCTGGTGGAGAATCAAGCACACAAAACCTGGCTCATGATATAAAGTGTTATTTAGAATTAATATAAATGCCAAAATAGTTCCTAAATTTCTAAAGACTATTTAGCAAGTACAAGCTCTGGAATTTATTCCTAAATTTGGTCTCAATAGGGGAATATCCAAATGGTTTAATTGTTAAAATATGCTTAAAAATAGAAACTTATATTTTGAAACTACAGAAAAATGATAATGAAATTAAGTAACATCTGCTTTTGTGATTGGACAGGATATTTGCAAAGCTTAGCTAAGTTTGGCACAATGTCAAAGTTCATAAAATCTAAGATCAATATTATCTATGATAATAAAAATGCTAAAATAGAATATGGAAAAAAAATCTTTTTTATTTTCTTAATTTGTCTAGTATAAAGACTCTTAAGTTAATTAATTATATTTATTTAATTTTTGACTTGACAACAACAAAAACAAGCAAACATCTAAAAGCTTAGTTTAAATCCACAAAGTGATACTTCATTTGTTTTGAGGTAATTTTCTTTTTAGGTGGAATAGAATATATTCATTTAATTTTAAAAGGATTTACAGAATAATACTTACCTAATGTTTATTGGCAGACTTCCTTATCTTATATAATAACTTATCTCATGTCAAATTGTGATTTTTCAATACAAGCAGGCTCTTTACATTTGAAAGACTATAATAATAATAAAATCTTTCTTGTACCAGAGTAAACTAATTTATGATAGGATGTTGAAAAATTCTCAGCTTAACCAAGAATGAATATCAAAATAAATTTTGATATTTACTCATTTGATCAGATTTCGGGAAGTCAGTTTGGCCAAGAATTTTTCAACACCCTCTACCTCATAATAGGATTATGAAGTAAATAACTATACATTTTAGTAAGTATGCATATTCCCAACACCATGTATTAGTAACTTGGATATTAACTATGCTTTTTGTTGTGCCAATCTTTTAAGTGGTAATGACAACATTCAAAATCTTGACTTGAACAATAGTGGTGGGAAATGTACGAGTAAAAAGACCTCTTTGTAAATAGACAGAATATATAATAAAAGTAAGAAGAGAAAGGTGGGAAATATTCTTTACCCATTTTTTAAAGAATTGTTTTAAAGAATTTAAATTTCTGATTTAGAATTTATTTAATATGAAACCTAATGAGTCTGAAGGGATTTAATTATTTTCACAATGTGTTCAAAGTTCTTGAGTATAGAAGATTGAACTTCAAAGTATTTTATAATTGTTATTTAAGAAGACAATTATTGGAGATAAATGCTAAGAGAGTTTGATTTCCATTTTAAACGATTATAAAGAAGTATGAATAGAAGTCAAAAAATAAAGCATGTGATTGGATTGCCATCAAGTTTTAACAATTGACAGAACAGCTTTTTGCTGCTACTCTAGTTGAGACATTTATTTGAATGTGGCTTGTCCAAGTGCTCATTCACGTACATTCTTCTCTGTCAACATTAGTGACAGACCAGTGATATTTTGTCAAGATATAGCAAAGGGACAGAACACAGGGAGAAGTATATTCATGCTTTCCACAAAGAATTAGTACCAAGTGAATGTAAACAGTCACAACTGTAGTTTAAAACTGTTCACCAATTCTCTTTTCTGTGCAAGTAATTATTACATCACTTTATAGTAAGTATGTATGTGTGTATGCAAGTAATGGTTTGTTCACAGGTTTTGCAATGAAAGGGAACTACTACTGGCTATTTCTTAAACATTAAGAGGGATTCAATTTCTGCTGATTTAGATCCAAATTCCAACAGTGGTATGTTTTTTTTTTTTTTTTTTTTTTTCATTATTTGTTTTGTCTTCGGGTTGTTGTCTTTCCGAAAAGCTCTTGTTTTTTGTCTTTGGTAACTAGAAGTAAAATTGTTTTTCTAGTGAAGTTCTTTGACACTCAACCAATCAGGCCATACACCCACAGTAATGTCTATTCTTTTTGTCACCCTAAAATTCCAACTTTGGAATGTACATTGATACCTTATATATAATCTCTCAGAGAGGTTGTCTTACACTACTGGGCTTACAGCCACATCATGTTGCAACACCAGTTCTCATACGATCACTGAAGCAAAGTCAAGCCTGGTTAATACCTAGATGGGTAACTGCTTGGGAATACCAGGTGCTGTAAGCTTGGATGTGCAGATGGTATAATGGATAATGGCTTGGAATTGTTAATCAGAGGCCAGAGTTCCAATTTTAGTTGGGTTTATTATATTCACTTGGGCACAGATGCCTTTTTGAAAATGTATGAATCCACCTCTTCTCCCTCCAGCTATGGATTAATTAGTAGGACTTATATTAGTAAATCTTATCTTCCCCCCAAATTCTTCCACTCTAAAAATATTTTTTGGATTTAAATAACTTGCAATAGGTTGATAAGCCATAAAAATCAATCAAATTTACACTACTGATGTATATTTGTATAGTTTGAAATTTAGTTCATTTGCATAGCAGATACCATGACTTATCTAAATAATGTTTTAAGAAAAATAAATGTGGAATCTTTGTTCAACAAGTGGTTGATTTTATCAACATTTTGATGTAATTAAACATTCAAATATAAACAAAAAACAAATCAATTGTAGTTTCTTGTCTTGTTTGTTAATTATTAACTGCATTCAGAGGAGTTACTTTTATGCTTTAGATTTTAAATTTGACTAATGGACAAATAGATTTGCCAACTGAATTCATTGGATAGGGACTTTTTTATAATTATTTCGCCCTAAGCAATGCAATAAAGTCACTAACATGCTAGAGTGAAAAAATCTGATAAAATCAATATTAACGAGAGAGGACAATAAAAGAACATGAATTAAGGAGACAGAAAATGATCATTGACACTGCATTTAAATTTTTGAAGATCACAGTTGATTGGAAAGTAAGAGCTTGGATGAGTTCCACAAGCAAGAATTGTGAGAGAAGAAACTGTTAGCATAGAACTTATGGTTACATCTAGCAATTTCTTTCAACTGTCAAATGATGAGACCTAGCTGCCAATCTAGTACTGCAATTAAATTTGTAAAGTTGAGGTTCCAAAGAGGAAAGCTCATCAGAGTGGTTAGTTATCATGAAAATAATTATACAAAGGGCATAGGGAAGCTCTTACAGCAGTGGGGAAAGTGACTGAAGGCAAGATGCTGGGTCAGAACCAATAACAATGCAGATTCATTTTTAGATTTCCTTACTTATCATGTGGAACCTGATTATTTTTCCTTTTCTAGAGCAACTGCTGTTGCCTGGTATGTCTGGTGGAGCCACCTACTGGATAAATCATGGAACAAAGAGTTAAATAAAGATTTTTTATCCAGAGAAAAATGATGCCAAGTTATATATTCTGATTAAAAAAAAATTTTTAAATAAAAAAAAAAAAAAAAAAAACCCTAAAAACATGTAATTTCATCAAAATCATATTGTAAAGCCTATATATTTCTGTACAATCTCCCTGATAAGACTTTAAAATGAGTGAGAACATCTGTTACCAGAAAACCATAAATCCTGAAGTCCAATGTATTTCATAGTTTGGGGCTCTTATGATGTAATGGTTTGCAAGCTTGTCTTGTACACCATTATTAGAGTAGGAAATTTGATCCTCAATTGGTATCATATTCTTGTGGGTTTGTTCCAAAACTAAACAATATTTAGTAAATAACCATTGTATTTCCAATTTTTTTTTGGGGGGGGAATATACAACATTCAGGCAATATTAGGAGAGATATATCTATACATTTCCTATTTGCCTTGGTTCCGGCCTTGATTCCTCTTCTTTTATATGCATGTAATTGTAACTATTTTCTTATCTTTAATATTTATTTAAATTGCAAACCACTGAATTTTTTTAATTTAGTATTTCTTCCATTTTAATTTATTTCATTGCAACTACTCAGACTGTTCATCTGTGGCCATGTGTAAACAGTGTCAATTGGAAATAAAGATTAGATTTTTGGTGAGATTTGAATTCGCATCCCTTTTACTTCAGTCTGTTTTTTTTCCATAGCTGCTGCTCTACCACTTGAGCTACTAGTGATTTTACAGTGAGCAAAAGATTAAATCCAATCTATAATCTGTAAGCTCAAGTTAACATCAATAGAACACAACAATCAGGGGAAAAGGTTAGATTTGAACTGCTGACTGCAAAGATAATGTAGCTTAAGCATTTGGTTGCCAAATTACATCAAAGCTGCACTACTGATTCTTGAGATATTCAAAATGGTTGCATAAGTTCTGAATAGAGCTTGTGTGTATATATATATATATATATATATATATATATATATATATATATATATATGTGTGTGTGTGTGTATATGTATTGTAGAAATTTGCTGTATTTATAGATGTACAATGCTAAGATTTGGAGATAGTGTTTATAGTGTGGATATAAGAATCAACACTCTTAATTTCACACTTCTGTGCAATCACAAGACCAAGATCAGACAGAAGTGTGAAACTGACAATCACTATACAGTTTTGATTTTTATGTCCACACTGACATAGGCTATATATATATGTTACATACACAAAGAAATAAAGTGTGAAAAGTTATGTCAGTAGCTAAAGAAGAAAGGTAAATAATGTTTTTACTTTAAAAAAAAGAAGAAAAGAAGAAGAAAATGAAATGTTATTTATTAATCTTACCCTCAATATTAAGGCATCTTTCTCTTGAGCATCTGGATCATAGTCCGTATGCACTCTTGCTTGACCTAAAAATGGTCCCGAGTAAATAGGAACGCCATCAATAACTGACCCACTGGAAATCTGTGAATTCAGCGCTTGATATTTGCCTACAAAGAAAAACAAGCAAACATTCTTTACACAAAATTTTCAAGCATTCACCTAGATATTAAAATGTAGTAAATATTTTCTAAGTCATCAAGAATTGAACAAGTATTTTAAACTTCTTATGATACAAAATACAGACTTAAATGTATATTTTTAAAGTAATTATTTACTAACTTCCACTTCATAAAGAAGTCATAATATTTTGTGTTCCTAAGCTGACACCCATCTAAAGACTGATCATTTTTAGACGTTTAACTCTTTCCTGAATGAATTTATTTCAAAATGTTACTATTTTTAAGTGAACTTGAAAATTAAAGTTATCTATGCAAGTTAACATGGAAAAATGATATGATTTTATTTATATATCAATAACAATTTTAGAGGGAAAAAGTATGACATAATGGAAAAAATTTTTGTGTGACATGTTACATCTTTTAGGACTTTATTGGTCTGAATTGATGTTTCATTGATGTGACTACACATGTGCACAAAGGAAAGGGAATGCTAAAAATTTTGAATTAAAATTTTTCTTTTATATATATATATATATATATATATATATTTTGCATAAAATAATCTAAATTAACAAACTGATTTAATTTAGATTATTTTCCTTTTTATTTGTCTCCATCACTTTTAATATTAAATATCCCACATTGTAATAATAGAAGATCTGCCAAGAATAGGGAAATGTAAGAAGCTTGGTGCAAATTTACTGTCAGTGATCTAGCAATTAAAGCACTTTCTAAACATTTTTGTCTTTGTAAATTGTTTTCCCTCTAACAGTTTACTATCAGTGGTGCATCTGTATTGGAGTTTTATACCAAACTCAGGTGAACCTATTGAATATCTATAAACTAAAGACATTAATTATTATCGCACAGTTTTTAAAAAAAAAAATGGAGCTTCACTCAAGTTTATAGTATGCTCAGAGGTAATTAGAATAGCTTTAAAAGATCTTTATCAAAGTAAAATTGATTTTTGTTAAAATTAATCATATCATCACAAATATATAATATGCAAAAGGCTTTTCCCTGTCAGGGAAATTATATAAAAGTCAAATCGTATCTGTCTATATTTCTGAGATGAGATATTATGTACATTATTTACATTATTCGGACTATTGTCCTCATCTTTGTCGCCATATTTATTACAACGTTTTAGCTGGCTAAGGCAGTGAAGAACTTTCAGATGGAAATTAACAGGAGATAACTGATAACTGACATCCATTAAACATGGCACGTGGAACTAGAACAGTCTACCCCAGTGAGCGAAATAAAGGGTTTAGTTCGATATTCCAACCACCTGAAGAAGTCTGGAGCGTACAACGGCCAAAACGTAATAAATATGGCAACAAAGATGAGGACAATAGTATGAATAATGTAAATAATGTACAAAAGTCAAACCTTATTGATCTATATCAAGGTTGACAGTAGTGGTAACAGCTTTTTGCTGTTATTGCTTAAGAAGATCATAGAGTTATGTGACTATGGTTTTCCCAAGTGCTAAACTCACCCCCATTCTGACATGATAGATATTTTCATCAGGATATCTGGTGAGGGACAGAACACTGTGTTTCATGCCTTGCTCAAGGACATTAGTGACAAGCAAATGCAAGTAGCTTCAGCCCAAATTTTGACTTGGATCCTTAATTTGCTTGTGCTAGTAACTACTAATCTATTCTGCAGAGCTGAATAAAAAAAACTTAAAAAAACTATTCATTATATTTTGCACATTGTTACAAAAACATTAAGGTTATAAGTAAACTGGTGACATCATTTTGTTAAAAGTTGTATACTACTAGTAATGATAAGACTACCAATAATAATAACTTTTGAAATGAATGCTTTTCAGTGTTTATCTTAACATTTTGACATTCATATTTCCAAACAAAGCTTTCATTTTGGTTCCTTTTATGTTGGTAATTACTTAGCACAAGGCTATATGTTTGAAGGTACCTACAGAGAATTCAATTCACTACAGTATTAGAGTAGCTTGCTAACCATAGCTCTGCAGTGAGGTACCCATTATGTTTACTTAGCTTAGTAAAAAACCAGATGTTTGGGGTATATACCCAGTGAAGACTGAATTCACTATTAGGAGTTTATAAAACCCACTTCTGCTTTTTTTTTTTTTTTTTTTTTTTTTGAGGAAAGAGAGGAAATTAACTGTTAGCACTCTGCATTATTAATATTACTTCCCTTTCTACTGCCTTCTTTTTCAAGGCCTCTATGTCGCAGTATCCTTATTGTTAATATCACTCAAAGTTGTTTTCTGCTGTCATAGAAGGATATGACAACACAACTATGAAATTCAAACACTATTGTTCCGGGATCATAATCCCCTTCAG